ATATGGTACACCCGGTTCAATCGTGCGTACGCTATATCTGGGTGTTTTGTTCTGTTGCGCACTTGTACATGAGTAAGCTCAGAAAATATTAAACTCAAAAGCTCAAGATGTCAAGACATGCAACATTTGCATGTCTCACAGTCATCTTACGGATTTTTGCCCAAAGCTCCTAGATGAATACCTTGAACAAACTGATAATGTTGGTTACCAATGGGAAGTACCTCACATGAGGTATGATCCGCTCTCCATTTCTAACATGTCTACGGAGGACATGGTTCGGGCTATTGCTACCAACATGACCACCATGCAAGACAACATGGTGCAATTCCAAAATTAGACGAAGTCTAGCATTTTAAACTTGGAAACTCAAGTGATTCAAATAGCCGAAGCCGTGAGTAGGCTTGAAGCAAGGGATTCGGGAAAACTTCCCTCTCAAATAAAATGTGATCCTAAAAAGCAAACTTTTGCAATCACATTGACAAATGAGAAGGAAATGCAAAAGGAGATCCAAAATCCAAAAGAAGTAGAAGAAGAAAGAGACATGGAGCTTCAGCTGGTCAAAGAAGAGAATGAACCGAGTTCCAAGGTCAAATATCTATCCTTGTCATCCTTTGAGGTATCCCCAAAAATTCTAAGAACTTTGACGGAAACTCATAAAATTGACAAGGATAATGACATTTTTGAAATCTTCAGCAAAATTGAGGGATCAAAACATTTTCCGTTAACCATGTTTAACGATAATTTCTTTCTCTCACTCCCACCACATGAATCATTGAAAATCTGGATATTTGATCCTGAAAAGATTTTCAAAGTGAAGAGTCGAGAAATTGAGCATTCCTATGGAAGTCCTATGAGTGAAAGTGTGAAGAAGATAAACTATCACGATCCAAGTTTGAATGACTGAACACAATGATAGTGTCGTGTCACGATGTTAAATAAAGCGCTTCTTGGGAGGCAACCCATGCAAGGTACATTTACTTATTGTATTTTATGTTTGCACTTTAAAAAAAATCACCTCATTCGTCTTTTCCAAATTCGAACCCAATACCCCAAACCCTCCATAGTTTATTACAATTTCACACCTCCATCCATCCACCATATCCACAAACTAAACTCATACACTTTTTATTCTCTCCACTTTTTTTTTTCATTTCTTTATCAACAAAACCCACCAAATAACCCAAAACCCGAATTCCCTAACTCCACCTACACCAAGTCAGAATTTTTGCTCAACCAACAAAGAAAGAAATGGCACCACAAAAGGGTTCATCTTCTATGACGATGAGCACTAGGGACAGTGTTTTGGTTAGCTTGGGGGGAGAGTTTTATGGAATACTCACATTCATACTCTTTATTCTTGTTAAAAAATAATAATAAAAGCTTGTTAAGTTGAAAACCTGAAAGGGCAACTTAAGCAAAAATAAAGCAAAAATAATAGTGAGTTGTGAGGATTAAAACGGGAAAAATGTGGGAAGCTAGGATGAAAACCCGAAAGGGCACCTAGGCAAAATGAGAGAAACGAGAGAAAGAATATCTTTGCAGGATCCAAAGGGTAACAATGAAAAAAGAAAATTTGATAGGAGATTTGGAGTTGAAGACCCCTTCTTACTCTTTTAGTTTTGGGGATACTTTGTGTTATTTTCTATAAACACTCATGGATGTTGGTGTTGATACTCTTGTCATTTAAAGCACTTCTGAGACAGGATTTGATTTACTCGAGACGAGTAAAGGTTCAAGTTTGGGATTTTTTTATGTGCACTAATTAGTAGTGCATAAATGTATATTTTTATGTTTGATTTGTGTGTATTGTTTACCATTCTTATTAGTTTGTAAACATTTATTTTATTTGGTTTGTAATTGTTTTTAGCTTCCATTTATAAGTTGTAAAGTAGTGGTAGAGTTTTTGGCAAGGAAAAGGAGGAAAAAAAAGAGGAATGCTGCCCAGGGACACGTACCCGGTCAGGTAGGAATACTCACCCGGTCGGGTATGATTTAACAAGCGAAAGTGTCTGGAAAATCATTGGACCAGGTCGGGTCCCCTACTTGACCCGGTCGGGTCAGATGTGACCCGAGACAAAACGACGTGCTGAAACACAAGAACGTGGAAGATTATTTGATTTTGACATACACCCGGTCGGGTACCCGGCCAAAGGTGTTGAAAAACACCTATAAATAGCACATTTTTCCTTCACTATTTTCCATTCCTTCTTCCATACTCTTAAGCTCAGTTTAAAATAGTATTTCTTTTATATTTTTATAGCATGTTTAGTCTCGAAATGAGGAGCTAAACTTCCATTTCTTGGTGTTGCTCTTGAAGCTTGTTGATTATTAAAGTTGTGAGTTATTTTCTTAACTTCTTCCCTTAATGTATCTATATATTAATGTTGGGGAGTGTTGCTAAGATGCCAATTAGTTAACATCTCGACATTAGTTATAGTAGTATTCATTTACTTCCTATATATTAATGTTAGGGAGTGTTGCTAAGATGACAATTAGTTAACATCTTGACATTAGTTATAGTACGATTTATCATCTTTAATATTCTTCCTTGAATATTAATTAATTCCTATTCATATTTCATATTAATATTTTGAACATTACTTAAAGGATCAACTAGTTTTGTTTCATATATTAATTATTACTAGAATCGATCGACGAACCGATGGTTAATCGTTGATGGTTTCACAAGTAAGTAACTTCGGTTTATTAATGCACGGTCGTTGTTAATAAACTTAAGAGGGATTAATTTTGTTGGTAAAACCGAAACCATTGTGTTGAGGTTATCAATCTCAATTGATTTCATCAAGGAGTTAAGAGATTAAATGCTACTATCAAGTCAGTATATGACGGTGTTCTATACTTGACTAATAGTAAGGGTTATTAATGAATGGTCGTTGTTAATAACTACCCTCGATGAATTGGATATACTCCTCGATTGAGTATTCGAGAGGGGATAAGTTATAGATATAACAATGATCGACAAAAATATATTAACAAGTGGAAAGTAGCAATGTCAAGTCCTTTTTATCTTTGAATTAAATCTCATATAAGTCGTTCATCTTCGTATTTAATTAAATTAAATCACTCAATCCCAAAACCCCCCTTATTTACTAGTTTTACTAAAAAGAGAATTATTCCTTTTCCTGTGGATACGAACTCTACTTCACCTATACTACGTATAAGTGCTAGTATCGAATATTATTTTGACGCACCGTGATAAAGTGCTCGTCAATGAGCATATGATCAACGTTAAGACAAATTATCACACAATGTGGTCCAAACATTTTAGAATAAACACAGGAATCAGATGCATTCACTATAAATCCATATTCTACCACAACATTATTAAAATTTTCATACCACTGTTTGGGCGCTTGTTTTAATCCATATAGGGACCTCTTCAATTTACACACCTTATTCTCCTGTCAAGGCATCACACAGCCCTCACGTTGTCTCATATATATTTCTTCTTCCAAGTCACCATTTAGAAAAGTTGTTTTAACATCCAATTGATGTACAACTAGGTCATTAATAGCTGCTACGGCCACAAGAGATCTAATGGTTGCAATTTTAATTACAGGAGAATAAGTATCAAAATAATCAATGACTTTCTTTTGGGTGTAACCAACTACAACTAACCTAGCTTTGAACTTTTCAAAAGTTCCGTTAGGTCTTAGTTTCTTCTTAAAAATCCACTTGCAATCTATAGGTTTACATCCCTTAGACAAATCAATTCAACTAGATCCCATGTATGATTGCACATTATTGAGTCAAGTTCACTTCTAATTGCTTCTTTCCAAAAGCTAGCAGCTATGGATGTTACTGTCTCACTATATGTTTTAGGGTCTTTTTTTACAAGGAAAACTGAAACAAAACTCTCATAAATTTGATCAGTGTTCAACCAAGAAACTAGTTAAAAAATTCCGGCCCAAAACTAGTTTCTTTCCTTTTTCTTTTACCTTTCCTGGTTTCAGTCACATGTTTAGATGTATCCAGGGAACACACAGGCAGCACAAGTACGAAATTAGCATGAATATTGTGCAAATCATTCACAACAGATGAATCAGAATCATTTCTATCAATAGGCTTCTTCAAAGGAAAGATATTCTCAAAAAATTCAGCATCACGAGATTCACATATAGTTCTATCATTTAACGACATAAATCTATATGCAGCACTACCTTGAGCATAACTGACGAGCACACAATCAAAAGTTGTTGGTCCAATGTTTGTTCTTTTAAAATCAAGGAAGCCAACCTTAGCAAGACATCCCCACTCTCTTAAGTAATTAAGGTTAGGTGAATACCCTTTCCACAACTCATATGGGATTTTTTCTATCCTTTTATGAGATACTTTGTTCAGAATATAACAAGCACAAAGTACAGCTTCACCCCACATATTAATAGGAGGTGGATTTTTCATGAATAGGCCATGTGTCTCTTACGTGTCCAAAATTGAATGGGCTGACTGCTGCTTCATAACAAAGAAGCGCAAACAGTTAAGTAAGTCATTTTGCTTTATAAGTGACTGTAGAGTACTTTAAGAATTTTTTTCAATAGTTAGGATTATTTTGATAAAATTAATACTTTGAATTGTTTCAAATGAATCATTAATAGTTGGGATTATTCATATCCATTTTTCCATTTGGTAAACCACACTTTTTTCAAATTTTGTTTTACCAACTTGATCATTGGGCCTACTAAGGGAGTGTTTGCAACAGCTTCTGCTTTAAAAAAAGCACTTTTGGAGTGATTTGGAAAAAGTGATTATTTGTAAAAGTTGATAGTGTTTGAGAAAAAAGTGATTTTGAAAAGTAAAAGTTGGTAGTGTTTGGTAAAATAAGTGCTTTTGGTGTATAAAAAGTGGAAAAGCACTTTTGACACGAAAGCCGAGAAAAATAAAAAAATGGTAGTGTTTGGTAAATAAGTGCTTTTTTAAGCCAAAAGTTGAGAAGCGCTTTTTTTAAAGTGGTTGCAAACCAGCCTTAACTGGGCTGAAGCTTTCAATTCCGAAGCTTAGAAAGGAGGCCGAAACTTTCAATTCGGTAAACATCACAAATAAAAAATCCACAGCCTCCCATTACATCGAGAATAACGTGGAAGTGGAAACTTCTTTTGCAGCTCTAGAGATATTATCCATTCACCTTGCATTTCGGTTACTGTGAGAAAACTCATAGCGATTTAGGGTTTTAAATGCAGGTATATTCGTGTGGGTCTGAAATTTTTGTTTTATTACTATTTATATGTTAGAAATTCAGTGATGACGCAATATGATTTGATAATAGATTAATACATGTTCGTATATCTGAATATCTGATATTGACTTGCATTTCAACTGCTTGCTTGACAAATTTTTTGGTTTACAGGTTACTGGAATATGCTTTGATTCCTTTTGCTTTTTTCTTCAATTCGCATGTAATTATTAGGGTTACCTGCGGTATGGCTGCTAAAGATAGAATCAGTGAACTTCCTGGTGATGTAATTGACCATATTTTGGGGTTCTTACCAATTCGAGATGCTGCTAGAACTTCTGCTTTGTCTACAGTTTGGAGAGATGTCTGGTTAAGTGTTTCCCAACTTAGATTTGATAGGAAGTTTTTCGATTACATCCAGTACAACTACGTTATGGCCTCGGCCATGTTTATAATCAACAAAATTCTTATGAAACATAATGGACCTATTCGAAAATTTGTCTTTGATTTTACCATGTTTTATTTGAAAGACGACGAAGATAAGTCTCGATGGGCTGAATTTGATGAATTGTTACTTTTTCTCACAAGAAATGGTGTTGAAGAAATGGACCTATCTTTTGAGTCATCTGCGTACATATTGCCTGATTTCATATATTCTTGCTCAACACTGAAAAAGTTGAGTCTTTGTGGAGTGTTTATTGAACCAATAAAGGCCTCATGCATATTTCCTAATGTCACTTCTCTTTATCTTGAAGATGTTGAGTGTGATTCAAAAAATCTTGTTCAATGTCCTGCTGACCTTCCTATGCTCAAGTCTCTTGTGTGTCGAAATATTTCTGGTTTTAACATCACTGCCCCAAAGCTTAGCTGTTTAACAATTTGCTTCACTCTTAGACAAGGTATTCTTCCTGTTAACATGGACATGAAAACTATCCATTCTCTTCATCTCGATGATTATTCGACAAAGGTATTTTCGACAAATCTTCTTTCTCTCTCTATTGTTGATATGTTTAAATTTTCCTTTTTAATATTATATAACTCCATCATTTTATTATTTCAAGGATTTTATTAAAGAGTTAACTAGATTGGGAAAGCAAGGAACTACACTCAATGTGAACCACCTCAAGCTAGGGGTTGATGTCAAAGATGATGAAATTTCTGCGTTCATTGATTTGTTGCGGATGTGCCCAAAGTTATACAGACTTGATATACTTCTACCGGTAATCTTCAGCATCATGAAGAATCATTGTTCTATTAAATTAAACTTTTCATTTATTTCCACCCTTTCTTGATGTACATTTTTGGTGTAAATACATATTTGACTGAATGAGTTATGTTCTTACATTCTTCTTTTTTTCAAATTCTTTTTAGTGGGATGTAGAGGCGACTACTATAGACTTCTTGTTGGAGCATCCAAAGTTTAATGTGGCCGAAACATGCAAAACAGTTCATGAATTGCATCTTTTCTGCATGTTTAGTGGGTCAAGGGGAGAAATGCTACTCTTCAAGTGGCTACTTACATGCTTTCCCATGCTTAAGAAGCTTTTCGTATTCCAACGTACAGTATTTTCCTCCCAGACGGAGAACAGAAAAAAGCGGAAACTTTTGCGCTTTCTCCGGGGTTCTTCAAAAGCCAACATTGTTTACATTATAGGACGCCGTTAGATTTGTAGTCTATTTGAAGTATTTTGTTATACATAGTGCATATGACTATTTTCAAGTAAGTCATCTATATGTAAACTTTCAACCTCCAAATTTTGCTGAAAGTTCCCTACTAGCTTTATGTCTTTAAGGCCAGCACGACTGAATTTCTTTAAGTGAGATTTCTCCATCCCCTAACCTACTATGATCTCGGGTACTGAATTTCAAGATTTCAGAAGTGAATCGAAATCGAGCTTGTTATATTCGGGCTGGTTGATTTCGGCTCAGTTACGAATAGAGGATTTCGGGCCTGATTTCAAAAAGTAGAAATTCAGGCCTGCTTCGAAATTGAGGATCTCGGGCCTTGGTTCAAAATTGAAGAATTCGGAGAAAAGGATTTCGGGCTGGCAAACTGGAGAAGATCTCGGTTGCTGATCTCGGGAGTAGCTCAAATTCTTTTGTTGAAGATATGAGATTTCGAGTACGCGAAAAAATTAATCTCGTATAAATAGGGTTCCTTTCGTGATTTCTTTTCTTCCTTTAGAGCAGCTGCAACTAGGCATGGACTCGGTTCGGGCCGGGCCCGGTTCGGGCCTTGAACCGGCCGGGCCCCGGTTCAAGGTTTGGGAGGCCCGGAACCGGCCCGGGTAACCCCGGGTCCGGTTCGGGCCGGGCCACCCGCCCGGTTCACGGGCCGGGCCCAGTTCGGGCCGGTCCTTTTAATTTTTTTTTTAATTTATATATTATATTATTATAATAATTGTTATTAAAAACAAAATTCAAGTGCATTTATTTGAAATAGGAAGTACATTTGAGAATTGAGGAAAATGTTTTACATATTGTGTATAATTTACTTAGAAAAGTGATTTGATTTAGAAAAGTGTAAGGAAAGTGATATGATTTAGAAAATTATACATATTGTGTAAGGAAAATGTTTTTAATTTTTTAATTAAGTAAAACTATTTTTACTTAGAAAAGTGATTTGATTTATAATTTACAAATGTTACAAAATAGGTGTATAAGTTGTAAGTTGTAAGTTTGTAACAAATTAATTAATTTACGTATTAATATTACATATTTTAATTTAAAAACAGCCTTTACATTTTACAAAAAAAAATTCAAGTTGTAAGTTATAAGTTTGTAACCAATTAATTAATTTGAGAAGTGCATGAAGTACAAGTTTACAACTTAATTTTATTGAATTGAATTATTGAATTGATGTACACAATAATATAAAATAATTCAAGTATTTTTATTTCAAATAAGAAGTACAATTGAGAATTAGGATGCATTTAAGAAATGTAATACATTTTGAAATAAAAAATCAATCGGAATCTCCGCCTTCGGTGGTTGTTTCCTCCATAAAGTGGCGGGTGGGAGCGATGGTCATTTCTTGAGTTCTTCGTTTGGCCTTCAACCAATCATGGAAGCAAACAAGCGTCTCAAGAGAGCTCGGGCTCAACCTCGTTCTATAATCGGTTAGGACGTTGCCGGCTGCACTAAATTCTTGTTCCACGGCAACTGTTGATATCGGCATTGCTAGCACTTGCTTAGCCATCTTTGATAAAACCGGGAACGTTCTTTCATTGTCCTTCCACCACTTAAGAACGTCAAAATCATCCCCAACTTCATAATCAACTTTCATTATTAGATACAAAGAAAGCTCGTTAACTGAGCTTTGTTCAGTAGCGGGAGTTGCTCTACTTTTTTTCATAAGAGAACCAAATGCAGATTTTAAAAGTGATTTTCCTTTAGATGAAGAAGATGTTCGCGGCATGGGAGGGGGTGCATTACCATATTGTGCATAAAATTCATTATACAATTGATGAAATAAATTACTAACCTCGTTGTATTCTTGTTTAGGGTCGATGGGGTTATCATCGAACTCTTGAGTTGGAAAAAAACAATTATAATAGTAATCTATACAAGTTGGCAACGAGACAAGTTTATAACGAGGATCAAGAACAAATGCAATACCATATATATGCGGAACATGTGAATAATGTTTTAAAAACTTTTGTTTCATGAAATCACAAAAATAACTAACGTAAGCGGCATCGGAAAATTCTAAAAAAGCGCCGGCGAGATTAACAGCTTCAACAAAAAATTCGTTTGCGGTAGGTTTATAAACATGACTAAAAGTTTGAGTTGCGTTATTAAAATATACCAAAACATTAACAATTTTTTCACAAGTGTCGTTGTCAACCGGGTTTATAATATAGTTACAAGTTTGCCTTAAAAAAGCAGGAAAATGATCTTTATATCTAATAAGTACTTGAATTAAGTTATAAGTACTATTCCAACGAATAGACAAATCTTTAGGAAAAGCACAATAATTGACACGTCTTTCCTTCAAATATTGCCGCCATTGCATTTTTAGTGGAGTGTTAGCCCAATCAATTTAATTCCCCCCTTCACTACCTCCAAAGCATGTCCTAATGCCGCTAATCCATCTTGTACACACAAATTTAGAATATGACATGCACAACGTTGATGAAAAAACCTACCCATCAATGTAGAAGCACCACACAATTCACGCAATCTAGGTATAGCAGCAGTATTATTACTAGCATTATCAAAACCTACAGCAAACACCTTATCAAGCAAATTATACTCAATTAAAATACGCTCAATGAGAATATAAATATTATCAGCAGTGTGACGATCATTGAATTCACGAAAAGCAAGAACACATTTATGCATATTCCAATCATCATCAATATAATGTGCAGTAAGACCCAAATAATATAAATGATGATAAGTATCCTCCCATATATCGCTACAAATACTAACACGTCCATTAAAGTTTGCGAAAAATGTTTGTAAATTTTCTTTTTCGAAGTTATATTGCCTTATAACTTCTTTTTTAATCGTTTTGCGACTATAATTTCTAAATTGAGGATTTAAAGTGCCTTGAGCATAATCTCTTAAAGCAAGACTTTCGGAAAAAATATAGGGTAAATTTTCTTCAACAATTAAATGAGACATACCAGTCAAATGTTTTTGATCATCATAGGAGAAATTACCAAAGGGTTGAGAATTTGCAAACCTCGATATTTGTGTTTGCTTCCCTTTGCCCTTGTCTATTTTCGCATACTCCACAAGATGGGCGGACTTAAGATGCCTTGTGAGACTCCCGTATCCGCCAGAAGTTCCCAAGCTATACTCTTTGCCGCAATGATTGCAACTTGCGTACCATTTTTCGGTATTTTTGTCTTTCCTTTTTGTAAAATTGTTTTCAATAATAGGAGATTTAGATTTCTTACCAGTTTGGGTTGAACCGCCCTCGTCGTCCAAGTCTTGCTCATCATCCGGGGTGCCGTGAGTCCCGTCGCCCCCCGCGTCCTCCTCCGCATCGTCATCCTCGAGCCCCTCTTCATCAATGGGTTGTTCTTGTGCAAAGCGTGGATCGTTTTGGGACAATAGGTTTTGTAGATGCTCGTCGGACATCATCATATCATCTCTCCGTTGGTAATCCGTTTCAAAATCATCTCGACTTTGAAAAGAAGACTTGGCCCGCGCTTTACCTTTGCCTTTGCGTGAATTAGGACAAGTCGACGCAATCTCCCTCTTGCGGTTGCGTTGGAGATTACCCACATCTACAGAATGTCTACCACGTTCCATCTTTAAAATTGAACAAATATTAAATGATATCAAATATTTTATATGAGTACAATAGTAATAATAAAATGTGACTAAGAAAACTATTGCAAATTCGAACTAAAATATGAGTATACAAATCGAACTACTTCTAATTAATACTTTAATGAGAAATGTATCAATTAACTAAATATTAACTAGTTTGACTAATATAAATATGAGAAATGTAAAAATTAACTAGTTTTTTTTTACTTTAATGAGAAATGTACAAATTAACTAATATTAATATGAGAAATGTAACAATTAGGTAGTTTAACTAATATTAATATGACAAATTTAACAATTAACTACTTTAGCTAGTTTTTAAAATGACAAATGTAAAAATTTACTAGTTATTTTTACCTTAATGAGAAATGTATACTTTAACTAATATTAATATGACAAATGTAAAAATGTACTACTTTTTTTACTTTAATGAGAAATGTATCAAGTAACTAATATTAATATGAAAAAAGTACCAATTAAGTAGTTTAACTAATATTATTATGACAAATGTAAAACTTAACTAGTTTTTTTTACTTTAATGAGCAATGTATGAAATAACTAATTTTAATATGACAAATGAAACAATTAAGTACTTTAACTAATTGAAATATGACAAATGTAAAAATATACTACTTTAACTATTTTTTTCTTTAAAGAGAAATGTAGAGAAATGTAGAGAAATGTAACAATTAACTAATTTAATAGATAAATTAGAAGTCTAACAATTAACTACTATTATAAGTAATATATAATATAATGTTTATAGTATATAATATATAAGTATATTACTATAAGATGAGTAATACACTTATACTTAATACTTTAATATATATATATATATAAGTATATATTAACTAAATGTAATATGTAAATATAAGTAAATAACAATAGTATGTATAAAAACTAAATATCAAATAAATATGAATGTGTATAAGTATATATAGTATATATAATGTGTAAATATATTATAAGTAATATATAATATAATGTTTATAGTATATAATATATAAGTATATTACTATAAGATGAGTAATACACTTATACTTAATACATATATATATATATATATAAGTATATATTAACTAAATGTAATATGTGAATATAAGTAAATAACAATAGTATGGATAATAACTAAATATCAAGTGAATATGAATGTGTATAGTGTATATACTTATATAGTATATATAATGTGTAAAGAATTATAATATGAATGTGTATAAGTATATATTTATAAATAGATAATTAATATATAAGTAGATATAATAATTATATAAATTATATATATGTAGAAAGAATTTGGAGAAGATGAAGAATGAAGATGATTGAATATGAGAGATTTAGAGTAGAGAATTAGAGAGTAGGAAGAGTTGTAGAAGAAGAGGTGTAAAAAATGTAGAGAAAATAGGAGTTTAAATAGATTTTTTTTTGATACCCCACCCCCACCCCCACCCGACCCCCCCACCCCACCCCCCTAACCCCCCAGACCCCCCCCCTCCTATGCTCCCAACGGCTATAGAGCCGTTTGGGAGCCTTCCCAACGGCTAGGAGCTGTTCAAATTAAAAAATTTTTTTTTTTTTTAAAATTTGGCCGTTGGAGGCCCGAACCGGGCCTGGCCCGGCTGGGCCGGTTCCCTAAAATGGAGGCCCGGGCCCGGACCGCTATACCACCGGGCCGGGTGGCCCGAACCGGTTAAGAACCGGGTGACCGGGCCGGTCCGGGCCCGCACAGTAGCGGGCCGGTTCCGGGCCGGTTGGCCCAGCCCGAGTCCACCCCTAGCTGCAACACAAACTACGTAAAATACAAGAAAAAATCTAGAACTAATTTGACCAAAACTTGTGATTTTGATCAGATTAATTCCTTCAAAATTCTCAGAATAACGTTGAACAGAATTATGCCGAGGCTTTGATGCCAATTGTATGTAATCCCAGATCAACAGTCGAATAAACTCTAAATAATAATATGGAGAAATTGAGTAGAAGAGGAATAATTCATCAACAATTAATATCAAATATTCATAATGATGTGACAATAATACATGATATACGTATGAATTGCTGAGAGAGATAAATTAGAGGTGCTCTATGAGAATGATAAGTGCGGAATTAATCTTGTGGAGGCTTAGGCTATTTGAACCCCTATGCCTTTATTTATAG